TAGAAGTTACCGCTGGCTTGTAATGCCATTTGGGCTCCGGTCTTCTCCTTCCACGTACATGCGCTTCGTGGATCAAGTACTTAACTTGAAATGTTTGTTTCCATATTACTGATTGATCTCCTTTCTCATCGCAGATGGCGCTACAGGACTTGTAGCCTCGCTGGTTTTCTGTATTGGGTTGTCGACCCTGACCTGCTTAGCGACCTTCTTCCAGTCAAGGACCAGCTGAGTTGTGACAGCGGCGTCTTCACCTTTGATCCTGACATAAGATGAAGACTTACAAATGTAGTCACATTCACACCCAACATCTACCGTTAACCTAGTTCCGACAGTGGGTTCATCTGAGAGAGAGAGAGAGAGAGAGAGAGAGAGAGAGAGAGAGAGAGAAAGAAAGAGAGAGAGAGAGAGAGAGGAGAGACAGACAGAGAGAGAATGTGTGTATGCGTGGGTGTGCGTGTGTGTGCGCGCGCCTCTAGATTTCCTTATTCTGTTGCCTAGAGCGCTCTCTGAGATATCCACCATCTTGCCGCCAGTTTCCGTATATGTATATCAACAACTGCTGATTCCTTAGTTAATTTCTTTGACGACGTCGACACTTCCATACAGCTTCAATCATTCTGGGAGGTACCACCTCCACACAGACAGCCGACAGTTAGGGTGTTAGTTTTCGGTGTGTCTATAAACTCTCTGTCCCAACTGTTAGTTCTCTGTGTGTCTATAAACACTCTGTCCCAACCTTTAGTTCTCCGTGTGTCTGTACCCACTCTGTCCCAACCTTTAGTTCTCCGTGTGTCTATACCCACTCTGTAACAACATTTAGTTCTCAATGTGTCTACACCCACTCTGTAACAACATTTAGTTCTCTGTGTTTATAAACACTCTGTCCCAACCTTTAGTTCTCCGTGTGTCTATACCCACTCTGTCCCAACCTTTAGTTCTCCGTGTGTCTATACCCACTCTGTCCCATCCTTTAGTTCTCTGTGAGTCTATAACCCCTTCTTTCACAACCTTTAGTATTACGTGTGTCAATACCCACTCTATCCCAACTGTTAGTTCTCTGTGTGCTTATTCCCAGCCTGTCCCGACTGTTAGTTCCCCACGTGTCTATACCCAGCTTGTCCCAACTGTTAGTTTTCCATGTGTCTATACACACTCTGTCCTAAAATTTAGTTCTCCAAGTGACTATACCCACCATGTCCCAACTGTTAGTTCCTCGTGTGTCTATACCCACCCTGTCCCAACTGTTAGTTTCCCGTGTGTCTATACCCACCCTGTCTCAACTGTTAGTTTCCCGTGTGTCTATACACACTATGTCCTAAAATTTAGTTCTTGATGTGTTTATACCCACCCTGTCCCAACTGTTAGTTCTCCGTCTGCTTATACCCACCCTGTCCTACCCAGTTAACTTTTAGGTTTTCTGTGAGAAGAAACTCTGTGTCTGTGGTTGAAGGGCCCCACAGACAGACAGTAGTTCGTAAACTGGCATGACACGAGGAGTTACATAACTGACGGTCCGCTGTTGCATGGCAATACTTCAGTGTCCACCATTGAGGCTTGTCAATGGATAAACTGCAGGCAATTGTTTGACTGATGAGTAATACCTCATTGATGTCTACATTGTGAGAGAGGGCCACGTGATGATGATAAATAATGTTGTGGACATTGTAAAAAAAGCTGGCCATTAATGACCAGGCAGTGTCACGTGATCACATTTAGTCTGGCTGAAATCAGGGCATCTGTGCGTGTTTGACGAAATGTTTTAATCATCGTTTTTGTTTATTCCATTGATGTTTCTTGAACTAACTGTTCTGTAATATCGTTTTGAAGAAAATATATATATAATCAGCCACACACCCGACCGCACCTTCTCACGAGCAAGACAACAAGCAGCAGCAATACTGTGTTGAAGACAAACAACGACTTGTACGATAGTGTACTCAGTGACTGAGCTTTGGAAGGCAGGCGCAGAACTGAGAGCCCGAGAAATGCTGAAGTACTGGTCTCATTGTGCACTCCCAGACACAGGGGATGGGTTATGGTGTGCACTCCCAGACACAGGGGATGGGTTATGGTGTGCACTCCCAGACACAGGGGATGGGTTATGGTGTGCACTCCCAGACACAGGGGATGGGTTATGGTGTGCACTCCCAGACACAGGGGATGGGTTATGGTGTGCACTCCCAGACACAGGGGATGGGTTATGGTGTGCACTCCCAGACACAGGGGATGGGTTATGGTGTGCACTCCCAGACACAGGGGATGGGTTATGGTGTGCACTCCCAGACACAGGGGATGGGTTATGGTGTGCACTCCCAGACACAGAGGATGGGTTATGGAGAGAGAAATGGTTGGGGCGAACTTTTTACCATCATCATTATCATCACTACCCTCTTAGATTGTTTATTAAGAACCTATGTGTCACCTAAAACAAACACTCAGCGACGTCATGTAAACATACAAAGAAGAGAAGACACACAAGGCAACTTGTCACCACACACTGTCTTTATTGAATTTACCCCCCCCCCCCCACACACACACAAAAGAATGTGTCGATGAAAGTGAAACTGTGAGCTGTAAACTGACCAGTGTCCAGGAAATTGTGAGCTGTAAACTGACCAGTGTCCAGGAAACTGTGAGCTGTAAACTGACCAGTGTCCAGGAAACTGTGAGCTGTAAATTGACCAGTGTCCAGGAAACTATGAGCTGTAAACTGACCAGTGTTCACGAAACTGTGACCTGTAAACTGACCAGTGTCAACGAAACTGGGAGAGATGTATTTGACAGGCCTGTTTCGGTCACAGTTGGACGTTAGAGACTGCTGCAGTAAAGAAGATGTCGTCTCTGAGATACGAAGCTTGGGACTGCAGCAGTAAAGAAGATGTAGTCTCTGAGACATGACGTTTAAGACTGCTGCAGTAAGACAGACTCACATAGGGAAGACTAGATAGAGACCGGCTAGAGTCAAGGACCAGACTGGACAGTTGGCACCTGAGAGAGAATCCCAGTCCTCCGCGTATGAGTCAGATGTTGTCATATTGGGTGTGGTGCCGTTTGACTGTATTTGTCTTTTCTGTGTCCAGTGGTAACTCTTCCTCGTGAGCTTGCATGTTGTCTACAGGCCAGACTCTAAGGGTCTTACACTTTCACGAGACTTACAACTCATCTCGACATTGTTATAAGACAGGACAGACTCTAAGGACCTTACACTTTCACGAGACTTACAACTCATCTCGACATTGTTATAAGACAGGACAGACTCTAAGGAACTTACACTTTCACGAGACTTACAGCTCATCTCGACATTGTTATAAGACAGGCCAGACTCTAAGGACCTTACACTTTCACGAGACTTACAACTCATCTCGACATTGTTATAAGACAGGCCAGACTCTAAGGACCTTACACTTTCACGAGACTTACAACTCATCTCGACATTGTTATAAGACAGGCCAGACTCTAAGGACCTTACACTTTCACGAGACTTACAACTCATCTCGACATTGTTATAAGACAGGCCAGACTCTAAGGACCTTACACTTTCACGAGACTTACAGCTCATCTCGACATTGTTATAAGACAGGCCAGACTCTAAGGACCTTACACTTTCACGAGACTTACAACTCATCTCGACATTGTTATAAGACAGGCCAGACTCTAAGGACCTTACACTTTCACGAGACTTACAACTCATCTCGACATTGTTATAAGACAGGCCAGACTCTAAGGACCTTACACTTTCACGAGACTTACAGCTCATCTCGGACATTGTTATAAGACAGGCCAGACTCTAAGGACCTTACACTTTCACGAGACTTACAACTCATCTCGACATTGTTATAAGACAGGCCAGACTCTAAGGACCTTACACTTTCACGAGACTTACAACTCATCTCGACATTGTTATAACACACTTTCTGGACAGTTCCAGTTTCTAATCAGTTCCCAAATGTTTCCTACATGATTCTCACACTGGCACCCACTTTCCATCTTTACTTGCCACTTTTATAAATGACATAATATCAGATAAAGGTAAATATTTTTTATAAGACTGCAATATTGGCGCCTGTGACGAATGCTATCTAGAGTATCTGAGATGTGTTGAATAAAGTATCACTGAGCCATTGCAACAACTGTGTTATCATCTGTAGAGAAATGTGTGTGATATTGTTAGCAGAATGACTTGTGGTTCTGAGAGAGTGACTTGTGGTTCTGAGAGAATGACTTGTGGTTCTGAGAGAATGACTTGTGGTTCTGAGAGAATGACTTGTGGTTCTGAGAGAATGACTTGTGGTTCTGAGAGAATGACGTGGTTCTGAGAGAATGACGTGGTTCTGAGAGAATGACTTGTGGTTCTGAGAGAATGACGTGGTTCTAAGAGAATGACGTGTGGTTCTGAGAGAGTGACTTGTGGTTCTGAGAGAGTGACTTGTGGTTCTGAGAGAATGACTTGTGGTTCTGAGAGAGTGACTTGTGGTTCTGAGAGAATGACGTGTGGTTCTGAGAGAGTGACTTGTGGTTCTGAGAGAATGACGTGTGGTTCTGAGAGAGTGACTTGTGGTTCTGAGAGAATGACTTGTGGTTCTGAGAGAGTGACTTGTGGTTCTGAGAGAATGACGTGTGGTTCTGAGAGAGTGACTTGTGGTTCTGAGAGAATGACGTGTGGTTCTGAGAGAATGACGTGTGTTTCTGAGAGAGTGACTTGTGGTTCTGAGAGAGTGACTTGTGGTTCTGAGAGAATGACGTGTGGTTCTGAGAGAGTGACTTGTGGTTCTGAGAGAATGACGTGTGGTTCTGAGAGAGTGACTTGTGGTTCTGAGAGAATGACGTGGTTCTGAGAGAGTGACTTGTGGTTCTGAGAGAATGACTTGTGGTTCTGAGAGAGTGACTTGTGGTTCTGAGAGCATGACGTGGTTCTGAGAGAGTGACTTGTGGTTCTGAGAGAATGACGTGGTTCTGAGAGAGTGACTTGTGGTTCTGAGAGAGTGACTTGTGGTTCTGAGAGAATGACTTGTGGTTCTGAGAGAGTGACTTGTGGTTCTGAGAGAATGACTTGTGGTTCTGAGAGAATGACTTGTGGTTCTGAGAGAATGACTTGTGGTTCTGAGAGAATGACTTGTGGTTCTGAGAGAATGACTTGTGGTTCTGAGAGAATGACTTGTGGTTCTGAGAGAGTGACTTGTGGTTCTGAGAGAATGACTTGTGGTTCTGAGAGAATGACTTGTGGTTCTGAGAGAATGACGTGTGGTTCTGAGAGAGTGACTTGTGGTTCTGAGAGAATGACTTGTGGTTCTGAGAGAGTGACTTGTGGTTCTGAGAGAATGACTTGTGGTTCTGAGAGAATGACGTGGTTCTGAGAGAATGACTTGTGGTTCTGAGAGAATGACGTGGTTCTGAGAGAATGACGTGGTTCTGAGAGAATGACTTGTGGTTCTGAGAGAATGACGTGTGGTTCTGAGAGAGTGACTTGTGGTTCTGAGAGAATGACGTGTGGTTCTGAGAGAGTGACTTGTGGTTCTGAGAGAATGACTTGTGGTTCTGAGAGAGTGACTTGTGGTTCTGAGAGAATGACGTGTGGTTCTGAGAGAGTGACTTGTGGTTCTGAGAGAGTGACTTGTGGTTCTGAGAGAATGACGTGTGGTTCTGAGAGAGTGACTTGTGGTTCTGAGAGAATGACTTGTGGTTCTGAGAGAGTGACTTGTGGTTCTGAGAGAATGACTTGTGGTTCTGAGAGAGTGACTTGTGGTTCTGAGAGAGTGACTTGTGGTTCTGAGAGAATGACGTGTGGTTCTGAGAGAGTGACTTGTGGTTCTGAGAGAATGACGTGTGGTTCTGAGAGAGTGACTTGTGGTTCTGAGAGAATGACGTGGTTCTGAGAGAGTGACTTGTGGTTCTGAGAGAATGACTTGTGGTTCTGAGAGAGTGACTTGTGGTTCTGAGAGAATGACGTGGTTCTGAGAGAGTGACTTGTGGTTCTGAGAGAATGACGTGGTTCTGAGAGAGTGACTTGTGGTTCTGAGAGAGTGACTTGTGGTTCTGAGAGAGTGACTTGTGGTTCTGAGAGAATGACGTGTGGTTCTGAGAGAATGACGTGGTTCTGAGAGAGTGACTTGTGGTTCTGAGAGAATTCTGAGAGAATGACGTGGTTCTGAGAGAATGACTGACTTGTTCTGAGAGAATGACTTGTGGTTCTGAGAGAATGACTTGTGGTTCTGAGAGAATGACTTGTGACGTGTTCTGAGAGAATGACTTGTGGTTCTGAGAGAATGACGTGTGGTTCTGAGAGAATGTGGTTCTGAGAGAATGACTTGTGGTTCTGAGAGAATGACTTGTGGTTCTGAGAGAATGACTTTCTGTGGTTCTGAGAGAATGACGTGGTTCTGAGAGAGAATGACTTGTGGTTCTGAGAGAATGACTTGTGGTTCTGAGAGATGACTTGTGGTTCTGAGAGAATGACTTGTGGTTCTGAGAGAATGACTTGTGGTTCTGAGAGAATGACTTGTGGTTCTGAGAGAATGACGTGTTCTGAGAGAGTGACTTGTGGTTCTGAGAGAATGACGTGTGGTTCTGAGAGAATGGTTCTTGTGGTTCTGAGAGAATGACTTGTGGTTCTGAGAGAATGACTTGTGGTTCTGAGAGAATGAATGTGGTTCTGAGAGAGTGACTTGTGGTCTGAGAGAATGACTTGAATGACTTGTGGTTCTGAGAGAGTGACTTGTGGTTCTGAGAGAATGACTTGTGGTTCTGAGAGAATGACTTGTGGTTCTGAGAGAATGACTTGTGGTTCTGAGAGAATGACTTGTGGTTCTGAGAGAATGACTTGTGGTTCTGAGAGACTTGTGACTTGTGGTTCTGAGAGAATGACTTGTGGTTCTGAGAGAATGACTTGTGGTTGAGAGAGAGAATGACTTGTGGTTCTGAGAGAATGACTTGTGGTTCTGAGAGAATGACTTGTGGTTCTGAGAGAATGACTTGTGAGAGATGACTTGTGGTTCTGAGAGAATGACTTGTGGTTCTGAGAGAATGACTTGTGGTTCTGAGAGAATGACTTGTGGTTCTGAGAGAATGACTTGTGGTTCTGAGAGAATGACTTGTGGTTCTGAGAGAATGACTTGTGGTTCTGAGAGAATGACTTGTGGTTCTGAGAGAATGACTTGTGGTTCTGAGAGAATGACTTGTGGTTCTGAGAGAATGACTTGTGGTTCTGAGAGAATGACTTGTGGTTCTGAGAGAATGACTTGTGGTTCTGAGAGAATGACTTGTGGTTCTGAGAGAATTGTGGTTGTGACTTGTGGTTCTGAGAGAATGACTTGTGGTTCTGAGAGAATGACTTGTGGTTCTGAGAGAATGACTTGTGGTTCTGAGAGAATGACTTGTGGTTCTGAGAGAATGACTTGTGGTTCTGAGAGAATGACTTGTGGTTCTGAGAGAATGACTTGTGGTTCTGAGAGAATGACTTGTGGTTCTGAGAGAATGACTTGTGGTTCTGAGAGAATGACTTGTTTCTGAGAGAATGACTTGTGGTTCTGAGAGAATGACTTGTGGGTTCTGAGAGAATGACTTGTGGTTCTGAGAGAATGACTTGTGGTTCTGAGAGAATGACTTGTGGTTCTGAGAGAATGACTTGTGGTTCTGAGAGAATGACTTGTGGTTCTGAGAGAATGACTTGTGGTTCTGAGAGAATGACTTGTGGTTCTGAGAGAATGACTTGTGGTTCTGAGAGAATGACTTGTGGTTCTGAGAGAATGACTTGTGGTTCTGAGAGAATGACTTGTGGTTCTGAGAGAATGACTTGTGGTTCTGAGAGAATGACTTGTGGTTCTGAGAGAATGACTTGTGGTTCTGAGTTCTTGTGGTTCTGAGAGAATGACTTGTGGTTCTGAGAGAATGACTTGTGGTTCTGAGAGAATGACTTGTGGTTCTGAGAGAATGACTTGTGGTTCTGAGAGAATGACTTGTGGTTCTGAGAGAATGACTTGTGAGAGAATTGTGGTTCTGAGAGAATGACTTGTGGTTCTGAGAGAATGACTTGTGGTTCTGAGAGAATGACTTGTGGTTCTGAGAGAATGACTTGTGGTTCTGAGAGAATGACTTGTGGTTCTGAGAGAATGACTTGTGGTTCTGAGAGAATGACTTGTGGTTCTGAGAGAATGACTTGTGGTTCTGAGAGAATGACTTGTGGTTCTGAGAGAATGACTTGTGGTTCTGAGAGAATGACTTGTGGTTCTGAGAGAATGACTTGTGGTTCTGAGAGAATGACTTGTGGTTCTGAGAGAATGACTTGTGGTTCTGAGAGAATGACTTGTGGTTCTGAGAGAATGACTTGTGGTTCTGAGAGAATGACTTGTGGTTCTGAGAGAATGACTTGTGGTTCTGAGAGAATGACTTGTGGAGAATGACTTGTGAGAGAGAATGACTTGTGGTTCTGAGAGAATGACTTGTGGTTCTGAGAGAATGACTTGTGGTTCTGAGAGAATGACTTGTGGTTCTGAGAGAATGACTTGTGGTTTTGAGAGAATGACTTGTGGTTCTGAGAGAATGACTTGTGGTTCTGAGAGAATGACTTGTGGTTCTGAGAGAATGACTTGTGGTTCTGAGAGAATGACTTGTGGTTCTGAGAGAATGACTTGTGGTTCTGAGAGAATGACTTGTGGTTCTGAGAGAATGACTTGTGGTTCTGAGAGAATGACTTGTGGTTCTGAGAGAATGACTTGTGGTTCTGAGAGAATGACTTGTGGTTCTGAGAGAATGACTTGTGGTTCTGAGAGAATGACTTGTGGTTCTGAGAGAATGACTTGTGGTTCTGAGAGAATGACTTGTGGTTCTGAGAGAATGACTTGTGGTTCTGAGAGAATGACTTGTGGTTCTGAGAGAATGACTTGTGGTTCTGAGAGAATGACTTGTGGTTCTGAGAGAATGACTTGTGGTTCTGAGAGAATGACTTGTGGTTCTGAGAGAATGACTTGTGTGGTTCTCAGAGAATGACTTGTGGTTCTGAGAGAATGACTTGTGGTTCTGAGAGAATGACTTGTGGTTCTGAGAGAATGACTTGTGGTTCTGAGATAAATGACTTGTGGTTCTGAGAGAATGACTTGTGGTTCTGAGAGAGTGACTTTTGGTTCTGAGAGAATGACTTGTGGTTCTGAGAGAATGACTTTCTGGTTCTGAGAGAATGACTTGTGGTTCTGAGAAATGACTTGTGGTTCTGAGAAATGACTTTTGGTTCTGAGAGAATGACTTGTGGTTCTGAGAGAATGACTTGTGGTTCTGAGAGAATGACTTGTGGTTCTGAGAGAATGACTTGTGGTTCTGAGAGAATGACTTGTGGTTCTGAGAGAATGACTTGTGGTTCTGAGAGAATGACTTGTGGTTCTGAGAGAATGACTTGTGGTTCTGAGAGAATGACTTGTCATTCTGAGAGAATGACTTGTGGTTCTGAGAGAATGACTTGTGGTTCTGAGAGAATGACTTGTGGTTCTGAGAGAATGACTTGTGGTTCTGAGAGAATGACTTGTGGTTCTGAGAGAATGACTTGTCATTCTGAGAGAGTGACTTTTGGTTCTGAGAGAATGACTTGTGGTTCTGAGAGAATGACTTTTGGTTCTGAGAGAATGACTTGTGGTTCTGAAAGAATGACTTTTGGTTCTGAGAGAATGACTTGTGGTTCTGAGAGAGTGACTTGTGGTTCTGAGAGAATGACTTGTGGTTCTGAGAGAATGACTTGTCATTCTGAGAGAATGACTTGTGGTTCTGAGAGAATGACTTGTGGTTCTGAGAGAATGACTTGTGGTTCTGAGAGAATGACTTGTGGTTCTGAGAGAATGACTTGTCATTCTGAGAGAATGACTTGTGGTTCTGAGAGAATGACTTGTGGTTCTGAGAGAGTGACTTGTGGTTCTGAGAGAATGACTTGTGGTTCTGAGAGAATGACTTGTCATTCTGAGAGAATGACTTGTGGTTCTGAGAGAATGACTTGTGGTTCTGAGAGAATGACGTGGTTCTGAGAGAATGACTTGTGGTTCTGAGAGAATGACTTGTGGTTCTGAGAGAATGACTTGTGGTTCTAAGAGAGTGACTTGTGGTTCTGAGAGAATGACTTGTGGTTCTGAGAGAATGACTTGTGGTTCTGAGAGAATGACTTGTGGTTCTGAGAGAGTGACTTGTGGTTCTGAGAGAATGACTTGTGGTTCTGAGAGAATGACTTGTGGTTCTGAGAGAATGACTTGTGGTTCTGAGAGAGTGACTTGTGGTTCTGAGAGAATGACTTGTGGTTCTGAGAGAATGACTTGTGGTTCTGAGA